CTCAATTTTTTTACTTTTTGAAGATGTTTGATAGTTTGTTTATTTCAGCAACCACGGAAAAATGAATTATACATTCTAGAGGAGATTCATTCTTTTCTATGTAGAATGCAGTGGCGCAGTCAAACATTTTTCGAAAAAAATATTTTTTGAGATATTAACTATACATATGTTTTTTTAAATAGAACCCCCCGTATATTTCTAAATTTTCTTATTCACTTTGGCATGGACTTCTCGAAAATACATAACACTCTATATTTATTTTCACTATTAACCTCAACATTTCAAATTTTTGGAGGACATTAATATATTGATTTTATTCATCTTCTTTCTGACAATTTTTCAGACGCGATTTTTGAAAAGATCCCCAAAATTGATTATTTAAACTATATTCTAACCTTTTAAAAATGGCTGGGATTGGTTGCTCGCGCTCTGGATACCGCTCAAAATACAAATCAGCTGCCATTTGCTTATATTTGTGAGACTCAATATAACATTCTAACGTATTATATTTCTCAAATGTTTCAAATTTACTCATTTTTTTATTATTTAAAATACACACACTTCAGTCTGTTGAAATGAAATGTCCCGCATCCATCAAAAGTATGTTCCGATCACCATGACAACCGTTTACTTTGTTACTCGGCGCGGCCTACTATGTACTAAGTGGATATTTTAAGAAAAATTTGAAATGTTGAGATTAATAGTAAAAACAAATATAGACTGTTATATATTTTCGAGAAGCCCATGCCAAGCTGATTACAAAAATCTAAAAATATACAGGGGGTTCTGTTTAAAAAACCTAAGTATAGTTAATATCTCAAGAAATATTTTTTTCGAAAAAAGTCTGATTACGCCACTGCATTCTACACAGAAAAGTGCTTTTAGAATGTATAATTCATTTTTCACTATTAAACATCTTCAAAAAGTACAAAATTTGTAAATCCCCTTGTAGCTTCGAAACCGATCAAGATAGCCACGATCCGTTTGCGCCATTGTAATTTTTTCAAAAAAAGAACCCGAGACTGCAGTATCAAAATTTGAATATTTCTCACGGTTTCCTCGATACCCTATAAAAACAACCAAAATGGTCCACCCTGTACAAACCATACTTCAAAAAGTTTTATAACAGAATTTATAATTTAATATCAAAAGTAACGGTGTTGTATTATTAAATATTTTTTGAATGTTTTCTGGTCAATATCAATTAACACAAATATAAATTAAATCGCATAAAGTCAACTATTCTCATTTAATTAAACAATGCATTTAATTAAATTGTGTTTTGAAATATATTCGTCAATATTTGTTTATAGTATCGCTATAAATAGCTCGAACGAATAAAACCATCAATTTAATTTTGACTTTTAAGTGTTTTGTTTATTTTTGTCGTCTAAAATGCCTTAACTCTTTGACAAATCACAATTCCCAACAATTTCTGAAGTTTCAAACTCGGGAAATTTGTTAAGTAATTTAATTATATCTGCGTCGACGTTTTATGGAGAACAAGATTTTGGTATTTTCTCCCTTTTAAAAAAGACAAAAGTAAAATTTTCGGTAATCATAATTAAACTACAATAATTGGTTTTTGACTTAAAGGGAAGACAGATGATCAAAACTAAATTAATATAAATTGAGCGTTTATACAGAGTGTTTCTTAATGACATGCTAATATTTAAGGAAGTGATTCTTGGACCTATTCTAAGAAAAAACCTATTTGCCAAACAATACATATTTCTGAATACAATCTCTTCATGTATCAAAAATTGTAATATAGGTGAATCGTTGAATTCTGTCTCATGATTTACTTAAAGAAGTGGGCATCATAATCAGATAAGTTATGATCTCACTTTGATTTTTAATTATATTTTGTCTTTTCCTTTTTTTGGCACTGGTATTTTAGTCTGATAATGATGTAATTTGTCTGTTTAATTGTGCGTAATATTAATGAAATTAATTTTAAATAAATTGTTTGTAAGTCCGCCACCTTTTGCAATTGACAGCTCACATCACGCACGCTTATTTGTAATAAATTGATATTCACTGCAAACCAGTGATATACTTGACATTATAGAGGGTGGTCCAAATTGTATACGGGAAATATGGCAGCATATTCTGCAGATAAAAGCAAGTAAAAAAGTTCGTATGTATGTCCTAAAATGCTTTGTTTCGGAGATACGGGGTGTAGAAGTTTCATTTTTATTTCGATTTTTTTTTAAATCATTTCTTAACTAACGTCGATATTTGGATGAAAATTGGCGTCTGAGTGATTTTTGATATGAAACATTTGGGATTTTGATAGGACTCCTACTTGGCATCGTTAGTAAAGTATCACATTTTTCTATAAATATAAGCACCTTTTCCGTAGCATTCAACTAGGTAAATAAATTTTGTGTTTTTTTGACATTTTAAAACAGCAAAAAATATGACGTTAATTAAAATTGTGTCAATAATCTATCAAAGAATGAAATCGAAATTATATTACCATAGATATGTCTTTTGATTTTTAGGACTTTATCCATTAATAGACGGTATTAACCATTTTAGAAGAAGCAAAATTTTTTATAAAGAATGTATTTTTCTCAAAATGTAGACAATAAAAAAGTTTTTCATATATTCAATTGAATATTTCACGAAATAATTTGTTTCAAATATAACAAATTCATGAAATTCATTCAATAATTTGTAATATTCTGTTTTACATAATACAATTAAATGATAAGCTCAAAATTTTTTATGCGTTTGAATGCACCTAGATATTTTTTATATTTCTATTTCTTTAAATTATCCTACTATCGATGCTTTCTTTCAAATCGTTGCAGAAAGTTGGCGTTGAAATAGCTAATCCTAGCAACCGGCGCTCGTGATTTGTAAAAAACGTGAATATTTGTTTTTTTATTCTACAATAATACCAAGCTTAGTTTTTAGTTTTGTTTTTATTTTGCGTTAGTTTTAAAGTAGTGTAATGCGGTTTAAGTGTACTGGTTCCGTTTCAGCAGTTTTATAGTAAGGTAGGATTTATTTTATAGCTTTATATTTTTATATTTCTGTTGTTGGGAGGATTAAAGTTTTAAAATAAGCATGTGAAGCATATTTTTAAGATATACTTTTTTTGTTAAATACGAATTTTTAGCTTTATATGGCTCTATTATAATATGATCTAATAGGCGTGGTATATTGTAAACAACCGGCATATACAGGGTCCGGTAATAGTGCGTCGGGCATCTGTAGCTCCTAGAATAAAAAAACTTGGAAATGTTGTTTAAGTGCTAACCTAAAGTATGTACTAGGATGTATTTTAGGCAAATATTTTAACTTCTACAGGGTGGCTCAAAAAAGTGTGAGTGGATCGGGATAATTTTTTTTTTAATAGAACAACCCTGTATATTATTGCATTTTTGGCTTTCCTTCAGATCACTTTACATAATCCTAAGATATGAGTAGATATATTTCGATAGTTTATTATAATATTTCAATAAATAAATAAAAAATGATGTATATTTTTCATTCTTAAAAAATGTATTAAAAATACAAGAACTGTCCTGAAATCAAAACTATATTATGTATTTATGTTAGATGGTCTGTACTTACTTTACTATAAATATCGTAATATTAAATCATACAAAATTCTATGCCAAACTTTCTAAAATATAAAATAAGTTTTCTTGTTTTTTTTAAATGGAACACCCTGTATATTTTTTTTAGAAAATGGAGAATTAAAAAATTTACATTTTTATGTATTTAGAGTATTTCAAAATTTTTAACGGTTTCGCAAATATTCGCGGTTTTATATTTCATTTGGCATTTTCCAGAGTAAACTTTTATCAAAGCCACCTAATGATTCTTCTCTCGTATTTTACCGTTGAAAGAGCCATAGGGAATAATATCGCGAGTATCTGCCAAGCCGTTACAATTTTTGAAATACCCTAATTACGAAAAATGTTCATTTCTTTATTCTCCATCTATTAAAAAAAGGTATTCCATTTAAAATAACAAAAAAAAAATTATTTTATATTTCAGAAAGTTTGGTGTAGAATTTTGAACACCCTGTATGATTTTACCACGCCCTCCTTTACACGTTTTTCGACATTTTTTCGACGATTTTATTAACATTTAAAATTGTCACAACACAAGCGACGTTCAGTTCCGAAAGAGCGTTGATTTTAGCACTATTGATTTCTCTATATAAACTCACCGGCAAAAAAACCCGCCACTAAAAACTAGACCCAATTTTAAAGTTGGATTTCTCCCGAACCACTCATTAGATTTTGATGATTTTTCTTTTAAATTGTAAATTAATTCCTTTTTGCGGATGCTCCGTCAGAAATTTTTATTCCGAACTTATTTTGAGCTTATACAGGACACAACAATAAGACGAAGTTTCTTGCCCGAACTTTGTAACACCCTGTAGGGTGCAGCAGCGGTAGTAGCTATCGGTATATGGAAACAGGAAATTTCACCAGGCAAGTGGACACTAGATATTAGTCCCTTAAAATGTCTTTACCTTTTTTTTAATTTTCATGTTTTAGTTAGTTTACGTCTACGTTCTGATGTTTGGTTTGATTTTAAACCTTTTTTCGAGGCGTTTATTTTAAAGCAGCGTATCTCCAATACAAACAGAGATAATGTCGTGATTAAAAAAACAAAATGCTCACAAAAGATGAGGCTATAATGTGGTTAGATTTAGCAATAGCTACTACAGCTGTTGCACCCTACATGGTGTTACAAAGTTTAGGCAAAAAACTTCGTCTTATTGTTGTGCCCTGTATATGCTCAAAATAAATTCGGAATAAAAATTGCTGACGTAGCATCCGTTAAGAAGGAATTAATTTACAATTTAAAAAAAAATCATCAAAATCTAGTGAGTAGTTCGCGAGAAATCCAACTTTGAAATTGTGACTAGTTTTTAGTGGCTGGTTTTTTTTGCCCACGAGTGTATATTTAATCTAATATTTTTTGACAATATTATGCAACCAATCTTATAAAATATAAAAATTGTAAGATTTTTATTAAATCCTCAGCACTGAATTGACAGAAAAATAATTAATAGCGTTGATATAAATTTTATGTTTAATTCATTTGTATTTAGGCATAACCTTTTCTTTCTCTTCTGGATCTAAGCTGTTGTAAGATACACAAACAGGGCTCTTGTTCGTTTCATCTTCCGCTGCTCCTTTAGCGGATGATGATCCTCCTCCCAATTTGTCTATGACGTTTTTCGGAAAATGGGCTATTCCAGAAAATATGTTTGAAATAGCTCCGTTCCAAAGCCTTTGAAACTTCAACGAAATATCCTCAGCTCTGAATGGCGGCAAGTCGCAGTGTCCGTACGGATCGTAGCTTGATTGCTGCAAAGAGATTTTTGTCATTAGTTTTACTCAGGGTTGGAAAAAATCATGATTTTTAAAAAAAAAAAAAAAATCAGATTTTTTTGATTTTAATTCAAAACAATATTTAAATCGAATTTCCAAATGACTAGGACTTATTTCCAATTAAAGTCCTATCCTAAATGGCTAAATCTTTATAACTCTGCCCGATACCGATAACATTAACAATTCTACGGCGCGTGTCATTTTTCCACGTGTCGGTCACCAATATATTCCGCAAAAAAGTCGCTCGCTTCAGATCAAAAGGATTTTTTTTCAAACATCTCAAAAATATTAACTTTTGTCATTTTAACGCCTAGGCATAAAAGTAAAGTCTGTTACGCTTAAGCACAAAACTACAAAAATATATTATTAAACTGATATTAAGTGTCAAATTCAACGAGTGTACAAATTGTTGCTCGATTACTGTTCATATTATATGCAATGTTTGAAATTGATTAAAAAATTATTTGTAATATTTTAAAAGAAGTAGTATGTTCTATTAGGAGTAAAAATGTACTTTTTGTGCCTCCCTGTAACGTCGGAATAGCTTTACGTTGGTCCACAGTGCTTCGAACATATGGCTCTAGAGGACAAAAATCCAAAACTTCTCTTTTATTGTAAGCAATTTATTCAAACTAGGTTTATTTGACACAAATGATGAGTACTCTCATTGTACTAAATGATGATGTTCTTAGTCCCACGTTTATGAAAAAAAATCTAATAAATAATAAAAATATTGGAGCTGTGTTCCATCTAAGCAAATAATAATTTATAGTATGAAAACGGTGTAAGTATTAAATAAATTCCTGTGATAAAAAAGAATTGAAATAACATTAGAACATGATTCCTACAATATAAGCCTAATACGTAAGATAAGATAAAAATGTTTTTGTTTAATGAAAAAGAAACATTAATGTTATATTTAATTAAAAAAAAAACTTAAGATACTATAAATTTACTTTAGGACAACAAAATGCATAGATCGTAACTACTTTGATTCAGAAGAATTACTGCTGACAGAATCTTCCAAATTTATAGTATCCAAATCAGGTAGATGAAGTATCCTCACATATAAGATATTTCTGTACATCATTTTCTAATATGTTACTTTTTCGCGTTGTTACTGTTCATTTTGTCGCTATGAGGGGTTCGGATGTTAATAGTTACCTCTTTAATACAGCATATCCATATATTATTTTTTCCTTTTCTTGGGTATGAGATTATATAATAAATTGAAAGATGGACACTTTTTTTATGCGACGTTTCGCTCCAACATAGTGGACTTTTTCAGGCACCAGTGGTGTCTCATTTGACTGGAAGGTTCATCAATATCTAATAAGAACATATTTTTTGAAATACAAATAATTTTGAGTTCTTGTCTTTATGATCAAGCCAAGTATTAGCCAGATCGGCATTGCTTATCAATTTTACTCCATCTGAAAAGTATTATAAAATAAGTTCGTCGCAAGCAGACGCAGGTGAACTATACAAAAATTAAAAGTGTAGAATATGGCAACAAAATATTCAATAAATACGATATGTTTTGATATGTTTTTTAAATGCCTTTTGAAGTTTGAAAACGTAAAATTTTTATACCCATTTAAGAATCATCTTAAAAATAAATAAAAACTAAACAATCACGAACTTGTTTGGAAATAAATTTAAAGTACATACCTTGTTTAACAATATCCATAGTGGCTTTCAATTAAGTACGTACCCGTTTAACTCCACGTATTATACATAACTACTATGAATGTTATTCTTTTCACTGATGAGGTAATGATCGCAAAATTTATTTTTAGTGAAAATATTTGCTAACAAAAACGCTGTTTATGAAAAATAATATACAGGATGGTTGAGCATTGCTATAAGTATAAAATTATATATTCAGATATTAGTAAATTTTAACTTATTTTTTGATTTTTGTCCATGGGACGAAACACTGTTTGGTCCTTCAAAGGTACAGCATCGTCAAAAAAAGTACAATTTTTACTCCTAATAAAACAATACACTATTGTTCGGAAATAGCCTTAAGTCAAGAATGAAATTAGTATGTATGATCTTATGTCAAAGTGTAAAGTATTTACTGCAGATCAAAATGTCGGTAGGAATTTGGAAACATACAACTCTGTTTCAAAAAAAATATACACACATAACACATTTTCTGACAACGATTATTGATTCTCGGGAATGAAGATATAGTCTCTATATCAGAAGAACCTAGTTCTGGCTCTAGACTTTGTGAATGAACACTGAATTCTACACTGAACACTACTTTGTGTATTCGAACACGGAATTTTTGTCACTTATACATAAATTTTAAAATAAATCTCTGCGTTTAGCGGTCTAATGGATTCACACGAAATTACTTCAAAGATCGATCGAGTATTTAAATCGATGAATAGATAGTTTTATAACATTTACAATTATTTTTCGATTTAATCTGTTATATCTGTTATAAAAATATTTTTTCTAGTTTTCTAGGACATATTTTTTTTAACTTTTACAGTTACTTTTTGACTTATTATAAAGTTTCAATAAAAAGTTGATTTAACAAACTTGATTTAAATCACGATTTAAATCATGATTTAAATCATGCCAGCCCTGATTTTACTTGACATTTTGTCTAATTTTTAAGACTGTATTTTCCTATAAAACCAGGTTAAATATAGTTCGTATCAAATAAACTTTTAGTCACGTGATTAAACTTGACCGGCACAATGTTGCCCACTTTTACATATTTCTTTTAATCAAAATATTTCAGAAAACCAAAATAAATTAATTATAAATATACAACTTATTATAAATATACAATGTTTCAAAAAACATGTGCCATCTCCCGTGGGAAGGTTCCTTACGTAAAAATATGATTTATTTTTCATATCAATATAGGTCCGATTCTGCTTTGTTTCGTAGCTACAGGGTGTTAAAGTCTTAATAATCTTTCAATTTATTATCATTTTCTTCCAAGTACTTTTAGTGATTTGAATGAAATTTTGAGGACAAAAGTTACTATAAGTGCTACATATTTTAATGCTAAAAAAGTGTCGATAAATTCATCAGGGACGTCCATATGGGTTATCATTGGAATATTTTCCAAAAAAAGAAAACATGTGCGCCACTTTTTTCTTTTGATATCAAAATTGTGTAGGCCGTTTAATACCAATTAAAAGTTATCTCTTGATATTTTGTCGAATTCGGCCTCCTTGATGAGATAAACGCAATTTTATTAATCACAATCAATAAAATTAAATTTATTATTAAATATTATTATTACTATTAGTCCAACCTACAGTAATTTAAAAAAAAAAAACCTAATTTTAAAAAGTTTTAACATCCTGTAACTCTAAAACTATGCATTTCCATATCCATGTTTATAGGAACTTTTTTTCATATTTTTTGATGAGGAATCAATGAGTACTTATTTAAAACTTTCACAAGTTAATGATATCAAATTTTTTTAATGGTTTTGGTTTTGCATCAAGGCAAATTAATAAAATTGCGTTTATCTCATTAAGGAGACCGAAATCGTACAAATATCTCTTAAACTGCTTACACTATTTCGCTAACAAGAGAAAAAAGTCAGTGGCGTATAAATATGTGGCATTTATAGTAAATTTAACCTTCAAAATTTCATTGAAACCGCAAAAAGCATTTGGCAGAAAGTTAGAATAAATCGAAAAAAAATATTAAGACCCCTAAGAGTGTAACACCCTGTAGCTACGAAACAAAGCAGAATCGGACCAATATTGATATGAAAAATAAACCTGAGAGTGAGGAATCTCCCCACGAGAGATGGCACATGTTTTTTGAAAAACCCTGTAGGTGTAATATAGATTAACTAATTATACAATATGATCTGGTGTCATTTTATATTTATTTAAATTTATATGAGAAGTGACATCGATCGTTATTTCCAGGCCAACTACAAGCATTTTTTTTCGATCATACTGTATAAAATTTAGAAATGTTCATTCTATAAGAATATTGTGCTCTATACAGGGAGTCCCTGAAATAAGTGCAAGTATTTTAAGGGGTGGTAGATTTTTTCAAATAAGTCCAAAATAACGGAGTTATTTTACTTTGAAAAAATTTCCAAAAAAAATATTTTTTGCTAAAATTTTGAGAACCACTTTTTGACAACCAATCTTTTCTGGATTTTCTTTCTTGTAAATTTTATCTAATACCTATGTTGCCATATTATCAAAAAATTATGTTTTTTTAATTAAAACTAAAAAAAAATCAAAAACATTTTCAAAAAATTTCGAATTTTCAAAATTTTTTTTTGAGAAAAAAAACCTCATAGGCGTGTTTCTGGTGTTGAACTATACTACCAGTTAAAATACTTGCACTTATTTCTGGGATACCCTGTATTTCAACACTTGAATATGTTCTGTTAATGCATTTTGTATTGTTTGTCTAACAAACTACATCTAAAAAATTAGAGAAAAAAATAGTTTACTTTTGATTGAATGTTTTTTTTCAGTTCAACAATTACTAATCAGTTTTTACTTACATGAAATAAATCGCTCTCAGCTTCGCAGGATGGTGGATCCCATTTGGTATTTTTTTTCGGCCGAGGACCCTTGAACATCGCACACGCGGTATTGTACATTTCCTGGGTTTCATCTGTGGTGCCCCATATACCCATGTCGTACGAAATGTAAACCAGTGCTGCAGCTACTGCAGATTTCATTCCAAAACCTGAAAATAGTTCGCATTCAAATTGGTATTTAAACATATAAGAAAACAGACAAGATATATGATACATAATGTCATTATCCATAATATCATAAAATGATACATAAAATCCCGACCGCTCACGTTTGTGTCATCATCATCATCATCATTCTGAAATTATTCAACCATTGACAATTATGGTGTAGCCTCTTTCACATATTTAGATAATCTCTTTGTAGTTGGACCCATTGGTTGTCTATTGTTGGATATGAGGGTCCAAGTTATCCCTGCTAATTTCCTAATATCATTAGGAACCATCTCTGGTTCGGTCTTCCTCTAGGTCCATCTGTTGTCCGTCCTTCTAGCGAGGTGTCCTGCCCATTGCCACTTGAGGGATTTGATTCTGTGGATGACATCTAGTACCTGGGTCTTTTGTTGTATCCACTCTATTCTTTTATGGTCTTTCTTGGTTATTTCCAGCATAATAAAAATAATAATTAAATAAATAGCTAATTGGGGCAATAAATCGGCGTCATTTTCGGTCAAAAAATTATTATCAATGAACATATTGACTATGTTGCTAGTAAATGTAATCGCTTCTTTGGATTTGTTATAAGATCGTGCAAATTTATCTCATCCCTGTAATCTATAAAGTCTATGTACTTTGCATATATTTGTACCAGGATGAATTTTGTTTCGGTGGTCTGGTCCCCGCAATACTTTGTATATAAAACAAGATTAGAAATTATACAAAATAAATTTTGCACGATTTTTAGATTTAAAAAAAAATAACATTTATAATTATTATGCGAACACATATCTCTTACGTCAGGAATTTGGGTTGATTACACTTGAGCAGCGTCGCACCTGTGCTGACGTTTGCTTTTTACATAAATTACTCAACAGTAAATACGATGTTTCAATTTTGTTGGAAAAAGTTATAATTTTAACGTTCCCCAGCGTAATTTTAGTGGAAGTTATTTGTTTTCTAAGAATCTTTACAATACTAATTTAGATAAGAATTCACCACTAAACCGAATTCAGACTGCGTATAACGAATTATTCCATAACATAGATATTTTTATTGTATCCTATCCCGTATTTAAAAGTAGAGTTAAGAGAAACGTTACTAATTTTTCTAATGATGCTTAAGTAATTGCAATATGGACATTAAGTATTTTTTTTCTCTTTTTTTAAAAGTTAAGGTTTAGTAATTAAGTATTATAAAATTGTTGTGATTTGTATTCAACACTACTGTAAACTGAGGTGCCATAATATTAGGTCTTGGACCTGTTTGGCATCCTTTAGTCTTGAATATTGTAGATATTGATGAGAATAAAAACCACTTAAATTAAATGGCTAATAAGTGGGTGGGTATTTTAAATGCACATTTAACATAGTGGCTCCGAAATGCATTTTGTAAATTAAAACTTGTTCGAATCACGCAAAAGCCTAAGGTATAGAAAATACAATTTGACATTCACAAATTATAGGTTGACAACTTAAGGTATCTTGACATTTGTCTATTGTTGGCTCTGCGGGCCCAAGTCATCCCTGCTAATTTCCGAATATCAGAGTACCATCTTAGGTTTGGTCTCCTTCTAGGTCTCTTAATTCATTCGTGGGTACAATGCTGTAATTTTTGTAGTCCATCTGTTGTATACCGGTGATTCTTCTTGCTAGGTATCCTGCCCATTGCAATTTGAGGGATTTGACTCTGTGGATGACATCTATTACCTGGGTCTTTTGTCGTATCCACTCTATTCTTTTACGGTCTCTCTTGGTTATTTCCAGCATATTTCGTTTCATTGAGCGTTTGTTTATCGCAGTTTCTTTATGATGTCCGTTTTAAGTGTCGAGGTTTCTCATGCATAGGTCATGGCTGATAGTACAAATTGATCAAATGTTTTTTTTTGGATAGAATGGCATTTTAGATTTAAATATGATTAAGTTTCTTCCATCGAAACATTGAAACCTGGTCATTTCTAGCTGCAATGGAGGACGCGAGAATTGATTCCAGATATTATTCCATTATTAAAAATATCTATGACAGTGCAACCTTCCAAGTTAAATTAGATGATGACCTCAAAACAGAAAAAAATACCACTCGGCAAGGGTGCGAGACAAGGAGATACCATCTCTCCCAAGTTATTTACACTGGCACTGGAAAATGTCTTCAAGAAATTAGAATGGGAAAATAGAGGTCTAAACATCGATGGGGTACACCTTAGCCATCTTAGGTTCGCAGACGATATTGTCTTGCTGACCACTGACATTCAAGAACTGAACACCATGCTAAAGGAGCTAAATGACCAGTCCCAGAAAATTGGCCTTAAAATGAACTTGAAGAAGACCAAGATAATGAGCAACAATAGCCATAACATTACCGTAGACAACGTTGTTATTGAAAACGTAGAACATTATATATATTTAGGTCATAAAATCAAGCTGGGTAAGGAGAACCAAAATACGGAGATCAAACTCAGGATCCATTTGACATGGGTAGCATTTGGAAATATGAGCGATGTTTTCAATGATAGAAAGGTGCCCATCAACCTAAAGAAAAAGGCTTACTACAGCTGCATTCTACCTGTGCTTACGTATGGCTTAGAGACTATGGCAATTACTCCAAAAACAGCAGAACAACTACGAGTAGCAGAAAGAGCCATGGAAAGAATCATGCTGGGAGTCAGCATTAGCGAAAAAATACGGAACACTCATATACGTCAAAAAACAAAATTAATAGATGTCGTTAAAAGAGTGGCAAGTCTAGAGTGGCAATGGATAGGACATGTGGCAAGACAGGATCCAGACCGATGGCCCAAAAAAGTCGTCCTATGGAGACCTAGGGGAACAACAAGAAGTGTGGGCCGACCAAAAAAGAGATGGGTCGATGACGTCAGGGCAGTGGCGGGAAGACAATGGATAAGATTGGCTAGAGATCGTGAAGCATGGAAAAACCTAGAAGAGGCCTATATCCAACACTGGATAGAACCAGGCTGAGAAAGAAGAAGAAGAAGAAGTTTCTTCCATAAGTCCTCCACGCTAACTTAATTCTTCGGTTGATTTCTGATAGTAGAGATCCTAAGATGTGTATTAGTTGCCCTAAATATCTTCCAATATCAATTTCGGCAGATAAAAATAAGTAAAAAAGTTGTATACATGTATGTCCTAAAATGCTTAGTTTCGCAGATACAGGGTGTAGAAATTTTATTTTTATTTTGATTTTTTCCAAATAATTTCGGAAGTAACGTTAATATTTGGATGAAAATTGGCGTCTGGCAGTTTTTTGACCTAAGAAATTTGATTTTGATGCCAATATGACTCTTACTTGTAGGGGGCGCCACCTACATATTTTTTTACTAGTATTAAGAGTAATAACTTGTAACAGCCTTTTTTCCTAGAGAGCTATTACTAACGCCTAACAGTCGGTCTTTTTGTTCTAGGGCGCCACCCCCAAAGTTTAAAGTGTTTGAGAGACCACCTCGGCCAATACGGTAGCTTTTCTACAGTGGAGAATCCAGGGAAATGGGGTAAAAGCCAGTTAAAGTCGAATATATTCCATAACGAGGTTTATTTAAATAAATTAATTACGAATCCAATATCTTCAAATAAATAAAATATGAAGAAAATAATAAAACATGAAATATCGCAAAATCTCTTTTTTAAGTAAATCGGCGTCGGATCAACCGAAAGGGTCTGGTTTTCTGAATCGTCTACAGCAGCCCGGAATCCAGGCACACTAATTATTTACGGTCAGGTATAAAGAAAACTTAAGAAAATCGGCGTCGGATCAAAACGAAACGGTCTGGTTGTCTATTCACGGTCAGGTATAAAAAAACTTAAATGCTCGGTTTTTAACTATCTATACTCATAAATCAGAAATACGGTTTAGACTTATTTTAAATCAAATCTCTGCGACCATGATTTATACTTATTTAAAATCAAAAACGGAGATACGGTACTTTTATGTTTTATGTTTGATTTATGTTCACGCCTAGCATTTAACCGGTTAAATAAAAAAATATACGGACTTCATTACAAACTTTTCGTCCGTACCTGTAAAAAAATCCCACAATTATGTATTATAAAAGTGAACCGAACCGAGCTATTTCCAAAATTATAACGAATTCCCTTCTCAAAGACGAAGGCAGCAGGCGGAAATTCGAATTTTCCCCCATTTTCGAAACAATTACGAGGCGCCTTGACAACCGGATGGGTGGGACGAAAGCCAGCGTTTCGTCTCATTATTAAACTCCCCTCGCAAAAACTTAGTTGGACCGGTTTCCTAAACTAGTCGCCGCCGCCTAACAACGGGCAGGCAGGCGGTTGTGACAGAAGGACGACGACAAACGCCTCAAAGTTATTCGGAATTAAGTGGCGGCTGATAGTTGTGCTGTTTTCGACTTCCAACGTCCCTTTGTATGAATTAATTATTGTAAATCTAAAATCAATTAGTTGTTGGAAATGTTTGAAAGTTTTGAAATTACGCATCGCTTATTAACGTACAGTTTCAGTTAGAGTCTGCATTATAGGCTTGATGCATTCTCCGCCGCGCCGGTGCTGCCACCATCGGAGAATATCGTAAAAAAAATAAATATATTGATATCTTCAGAAGGTCTAAATTGTATTATTAGTTATTTTTTATACAAGACGATAAAATGGTATATTAAGGTATTATTATTATTATGGTATAAAAAGATTTATTCACGAGCGATGAAATCGGGAGTGAATTAATTTCGGGAGACGATTATGCAATTTTATCGTCGCGCATAAAACAATATTTTTTTATTATTTCAAAGAATTTATTACGAATAGAAAAAATATTGTGCTGGGTTGGCGTTTGTTTCTATGTAATTTGACAAATAAATAAAGCTGTCTCTTTAGTTGTCAGTTTTGAGTCAATATTTTTTAATTCTCTTTCGTGTCGATTGCTGATTGAATTGGAGCAAGAAATGGCTCAAAACGAAATAAGTAATTTACCAACAGATATTCAGGCTGAGGCGACAAACGCCGTATCCAAACTACTTCCATTTAAATCCCGAATAAGTTATGAAAAACAATACAAAAATTTTCAAAAATGAAAGCAATTAAAAAACGTGCGAGAAGAAATAAAAAGTTTAACCTATCCTCGCTGCTAAAGTATCATTTAATCTACCCTTGCGGTTAAAGTACTATTTTATCTACTATTTTTGATAGATATAAGGCAATTTTAATAGTTGCTATAGAAAAAAAATATTATTTCAATTAAAAAAAAAATAGATGAGTTCAACTACGGTAGCGAGCAGAGTTTTAATCACGGGTTTTGCTAGTGGGGTATAATTGGGGCTATTTCGGCTATAACAAAAAAATTTAAAGGTACATAATTATAATTTTAGAAGATATTCATAAAACATTTAATCACTAGTCGATTAGAAAAGTATACATTAATATTACAAATTATATTTTATCCTCTCATAGTATGTCTATTTAATTTCTTGATTATATAACGAGTACTTTGTTTTTAATCACTTGTTTCCTCGAAGAATCCATTTTTGCTAGTGATCAAATCGGTGTGAGAAATGATGAAGCTATAAATGTTGTTTCGGTTTTCGAGTTGAATGTCCGGGAAAGTTGAGTTATTGAATGTTATTGCACCCAACAACGCTTTAATTACGGTCTCCTTTACGCGTTACCATTTTGTCGGCAATTTTATTAACATTTGAAATTGTCACAACACAACACGACGCCTAGTTCGAATTCTTTTTCACTTATTTTTTACTACCCGAAACAGCGTTACATTACACAAACTTCGTGTATAGGTACCTGAGTATTTTATAGTCTCAATAACTGCACTAGCAAAAAACTAAAATACCTAAATATTATGATAAAACCACGATTAAAATACTATTTTAATGCTAACTATGTGTTGATAATTTTTGATTTTTGCCGTTGAAGCGCTGCGGTCGGAATTTGTTGAAATCAACTGAAATGTACCAAGCCTATAATATAAGACTTTTTCTTTTATTTCCTTTGATAAAGTCTGAATTCGGCGATAGTTTTTGCTTTCATTGGATTGAAAACGACTTAAGAAAATGTTGCTCTCGAGTATACCGCGTGGAAAAAAGAAGAACTGCATTTACTTTTAAATTGAAACTGAAAAGACACCTACAAAGATAGCATCTAAATATGTGAGAGAAGTTACACCATACTTGAAAATGGTTGAATAAGCTGAAAATGATGATGATGATGATAATGATGATGATGATGATGATGATGATGATGATGATGATGATGATAATGATAATTATGATGATGATGATGATGATGATATACTACCTGTATCTTATTGATTTAAAATTGCTTCTTTACTTAAATATAAGTATATTATATTACCTAGGAATTTTAGAAGTCCAAATCTCTTCTTTACTTCTACTTCCTTAAAACATACTGGCGGGGCACACATCTTCCTTAACTCTTTACCAGTACATATGTTTATTCTTTTTGGTTTCGGTTTACATATTGCTAAATTAAAACAAAAAGAAAAATATAATTAAATAAAATGTAAGTAGATCCAGAAATGTATAGGTTAAGAAGGTCAGTTTTGTTGATGTGAATAAAAACTGTTTATATATTTATAATTAATTTATTTTTGTTTCCTAAAATATTTTGATTAAAAGAAAATATATAAAAGTGGGCAACGCTGGTGCCAGTCAACGTTAATCACGTGACTAAAAGTTTATTTAATATGAACTAAAGGGAAATTAAAACAACTTTCGTTGCACGTCATCAATGACACCATGTCGTCTTATGGCGTTTGCTGGTGGTCGTATTATGATGTGCAACGAAAGTTATTTTAATTTCCCCCCATATATAAAATAATCTTCAATTAACAAGATCCATATTTCGCCAAGTTTATTTAAAATTTCATTACTTATGGTAGATATAATTTAAGCAGACCTGTGCGTTCGACCGCTTAATTTAGTCAATAGGGTAGACTTTTTTTAGAATTTTGAATGAGTGGGAGGGGGGTTAATCACTTCGACCTTACAGATCCATTGTGTCCCCCTTTCTTGAATCATAACTCATCATACAGTCCCAGGGCTTTGACAAAAGCCAGTATCTGGGACGGTTTTATAGAGGGTAGTTCTCCATCTCCAATATCAGTCGTACCAAAATTCATGGCACGAATGGTTGTCGTCTCGGTGCACTCAGTGATGAGGTGTACTGGTGTTTCACCATCTTCCCCACAGAATCTGCATTCGCCGTTTCTTCTTAGTTTCAATCTACTGAGGTGTTCATTGAGGAGACAGTGTCCTGTTAAAAACCCGTGACAACCGAAGATTGTTCTTACTCAGACCCAGGAAGATCTGTGATTTTTCTTGATCATAAGCCCTCAGAAACTTCTTCGAGTGTCCTAGACCATTGCAAGATTTCCATTCTAGGTTGCGGATGGAATCTTCCAAGTTCTTGTGTTCCGCCTTGAGTTGGTTACCACTTGGAAAGCAGAACGGTTCTGGTCCAGTTAGTGGAGTGTTCGCTCCTTTCCTAGCTAGATTATTTGCTTTTTCATTGCCTTCTATCCCTTGGTGAGCAGGCACCCAGTGTAGGAGGACTTTGTTTTCTTTGCCTAATTTATTCAGCTTCTCTATGCATTCTTTGACCAATTTCGAATTGATTGATACTGAGTTGATCGCCTTTAACGCTGCTTGACTATCAGATAAGATGGCTATTTCTTGTTTCCGATAGTTCCTATCTAAGATAAGTTGTACGCATCTCTCGATAGCGTAGATTTCTGCCTGTAGGATACTAGGGTAAGTGCCCATTGGTTCGGAGTTGCCCATTGGTTCGGAGTGTCAATAGGGTAAGTCTCAAATTTCCTTTGTAGGGCATGATATTGAAGGGGAGCTAAAACGGTTTTAGTGAAACGTTAATGCGAACTTCTGTCTTATTGGTTTGATTTTGGATTTATTTGTGCTTAAAGTTAGACGTACAGCGCCCGGCAATAGTCCTTCAGGCATCTGTAGCTCCTAGAATAAAAAACTTGAGAATTTTGTTTAAGTACAAACCTAAAGTATGTACGAAAATGTATTTCAGGAAAATATTTTAATTCCTAGAGGGTTGGATCGGGATGATTTTTTTAATGGAAAACCCTGTATATTATGGCTTGGTGTTCCGATAATCGAATATTTTTACTTACCGCTTTGAAAGCGTAATGTTTTTATATCAAAGTTAAGAATTCTGTAAGTTAGAAAACGCTAAGCGCTTTTAGACGCTCAGTGTATATGACGTTAATTTCCTCTTGGCGCGCACTTAACTACCGATTTGGGTATTCTCATCTGACACGCTTAGCGTCTTTACCCATTGCGCTAACTGATTTGAAAACGGCTACCTTAAAGGATCGTTTTGCTTGTCAAACTGTCAGTAAAAATAGAAAAAAATTGTGATTTTGTGCGTCTTCTTGCTCTCTAGTGAAAAGTACGTTCTTCTTCTATAAATTCCTCAATAAGGTAATTGTTAATTTACGACTTGGCAGCTATAAATATTGTTTAAAACATCGAAAATGTTGAGAAGAGACTTCAATATTTCCCTCGTATAATAAGAATTATACATATCCATAGAAAAATAGGTTGACATAACTCAATAATAGGTTATGAAATTCACGTAACATTGACATTTTTCATCGTTTTATTTACATTTGACTATTGGTAAACTATTAGATACCTGAGAAATTGCTGCCAATATGTGATCAACGCGTATCCAGAAAACGATTCGCACGGCAACGAGTATACCAAAATCGACTGCTTGGGTTCCGCTAATCGAATACTTTCGCTTACCGCTTTGAAAGCGTAACGTTTTTATGTCGAAATTCCAGAGTTCGGGCCATACATATAAAATTTGAGATTTTCATTTCCAATCTCCGATGCCATTTTTTTCAGTGGTATCATATTTTTAGTCATGTCTTGACATAGACTCTTCTGTGCGCTGCGCTGGACGTAACAACTTCTTTAAAAAAACTGATGCTCCAAACAAAACGGAAAAAAAAGGAACAAATTAGGATTGGGCCTGTAGCCGTCGCATTTCCAATTAAATATGAATACCGGCAGTTAACACGCCCTTCGCTGTTTACCGTACGTGATTTAATTTCCAGCCGTATTGTTATGGCGTGCTTTTACAGTAATTTTATAGTTACACAGGGCCAGCGTCCCATTTATACAGGCCGACAGTTATTGTAGATTTTCTCCCTTTTTAATTCTCGTTGTTTCATTTCGGTATTTCATCGGATGCTCTTCTGTACAATGAGTTAACGAGTTGGGAAGGGATTAAGTATTTGAACTAGTTTAATGGATCAAGCGAGACATTAGAAAATTTTGTATCATTATTATTTCCAGATTATTCAACAATTTACCATTTTTTTATAGCCACCATTACATATTTATATAATCTTTTTGCAATTGGGCCCTTTGATGTCTATTGTTGGCTATGCGTGTCCAAGTTATCCCTGCTAATTTCCTAATATAGGTTTGGTTTCCTTCTAGATCTCTTAATTCCTCTGTTGAACCATCTTTAGTTCGTCCTTATTGCTAGGTGTCCTGCTCAATGCCACTTGAGGGATTTAGTTCTTTAAATGACATCTATTACCTGGGTCATTTGTCGCATCCACTCTATTTTTTTACGGGTATTTTAACACTCCGTTGAAGAAATTCATTCGAACATTTCTGGTAACACTGCTCTTTTCTATGTGACATCCATGCTCGTGCGTCAAACAAACGTTAATCCATAGATAAAGGAAATAAATTTAGATTGGAAAGCTCGTCAAAATATATAATTGTTTTGGGTCGCGACCGTTGCACAGTGGTTCCCAGATAGGTCATTACTTAGAAATATCAGTTTCAAAATGTTTGCATGCAACTTTTGCTAATACTTTTCTTATATTCCCCTGTAAACGATACATAATAAATAACAAAATCAAGTAAGCCTAGTGTAGCGCTTTTTTTTATTAGAAATGTCACATTTTTGCTACTGGTATCAAGCCGACATAAACAGTTTTCAGATAACGCCAATTAATTACTTATTTTATTAAAATTGATAAAAGCTGTTGCCTTTTCTGTAATGGACGTTCGAAAAGAAGGTAAAAAGAACTGTTTTTTCTATTTTGCACTTAATTAAACCTAAGTAATATTAGTTTATGGTTTGGTTTAGTATTTTTACATTTTTGCTTGTCACTCTTTAAGACTTTTAACTACTTTCCCTTTCAAATCCTCTTAAACGGCATGACAATACTTGTTGCTTAAAGTATATTGCATATAAATTAATTGCCACTGGCTGCCGCGAATTGCCGCCGGATCTTATACCGGGTGGTTAAAGACTGACATTTTGTCTTAAAATAAAAGTAACTTATTTTTTCCCCTTCGTGTCAACTTATTTGGTGGACACACTGTATATCAATTGACAGTAAAATTATATTTATTAAATGAAACAACTGTCTCTTTAATTTTTTCAACATTTAAAATAAATTTGACCTCTTCAATATGAAAAAACATGTACATATGTGCAAACATAATCTGTATACCTTTCCGAATAGTTAGAACTTAAAATGCAATTCACACAAACTGGGCCCAATTTTTTTAATACATATTACATTAAATCTTTTATATACAATTATTTAGCATTTGTTATCAATTTCTATGAAAAAAGGTGCAGTCAAGCTATATCTAGATATCTAACAGTTATGACCGCGCAGCTAATTAAGGGGAACTACTGTGCGTTGTACGCGATCTGGCGCTGCTATAACCGTTGCTACGGACAACCGCCAAACAATAACAGAAATAATTTTCTCATGCCAAAGTCAGTATCTTCAAAAATTATAAAATCTTTCAAAATTTAAACCGCCTTTATTGAAAAAATACCGAAAAGTGTTTAAAGCGTCCATTCCCAAAGTAATTATTACTATCTTGTGAGTTCAATTTAAATTTTACATGCTCAAACCCGTGATAATTATGAAAAAGTGGCTTTAAAAACTAAAAAACTGTGTTGTGAACTGTGAACTGCAAAAACCATCTTGGATCGTGGCGTAACGACGGTTTCCAATGTTTCATAGGTATTTCACATACTTGTCCTTATATAAAATAAAGTTTTTTGTATGCAACACACTGCATTTTATTTATAAAATTAAAAGAAAATAATAATAAATTTGAATAAATAATATTTGGCGACATAATTCCGGAAAAGATCCGAAATTATCAAAAGCTTTGGGTTGCGACCATTGCAAGAATAGCGCAAAATAGTGGTTACATTGTTCTTATGGGCACTTTCCAATCTAAACTTGTTTCATTTATCTATGCGTTAATCTCATGAATCTGTAAATCGTTGAGATTTGGTTGAGATCTAAATAAAAGTCGATGACAACGGTTAAAAATAATCCATAAGGAAGGCAAATAACAGGAAAAATAGGTATAAAAGTTTTAACGATGATATTGATATAATATTAATGGTATTTTATTACAGGTTAAGGAAGACCAAGACGTATAGAACTGTAGATAGAATAGTGAATGTGAAATTTCTAGATAAAATATTAACAAGTATTGTAAGGTATAAATTGAGATAAATAAATGCTATTTATTTACCCAACCTATAGTTTTCTTTAAATATATACATATACTTACTGTTTTCGTAAAAAATATTCTCGACGTATTGTCAACAGTCGTTTGGAGATGAATTTTGATAAATACTTTAGTAGGTACTTACGAATTTTCAATCGTTTTTTGCAACCTTCTGGTCGTTCCTGTTTTTGCCCACTTGGCTGCTGGTACACTAGAAAATTTGATTTCTTAGGGCATTTTTCTGGCTTTTTGTCTGAAGACATATTGCGAATTTTGATTGAGTATGTGGCACAAAAGACAAATTTTGACAAAAGATGACAAACTCGGTGATGACTGTGTTATGTCATTGTAAAGTGTCATTATTTATTTTTTTAATCAGTGTGTAACCTTAGCAATATACAGGAAAAATTGAAAATAATGCATTTATACAAAAAAAAGTTAAATAAATTTTATTAAGGAAGAAGGATAATGATATTCATGCATTAAGACGTTTAGACTCTCAAATAATTTGCACCAATTGGTTTGTGCAAATAAATTGAACCTATAGAACGTCAAATGTAAACAGAAATCTTTAGTTTGTGCAGTTCAAAAACTTAGGTTGAGTAAAATCTATCTTGTCTTGATTTTTATGAGCGTTACCACGGTTTTAGATAGCTTTAACAGGCTGTAACATTTGTTGGTGGAGATTTAACATCAAAAATTGTTTATCAAAGATATTTAAATAAAAACCCGCAGACAAATAGCACCAACTAACTGCTCTTCATTTCCAATCCATATTTCAGTAAAATGATTTGGTTATTTGTAATATTATATTTATTATTTTTATTTTACTGTATATGGTTTTTCGTATTCAATGCTTTACCACACACGTCATTGTTAAGTTTTAAAGCTCATCAATTACGATGAATAAATTGTGGCATATTGTTGTACTCAGGTGACTGAATTCTATCAAAACCTGAAATAAAAGATTCAGGTCCGTATTTAAAAAAAATAAGTTGGCCTATGTATCTCACAAATTATCAGCTAATTTGAAAATTTAAAAATACTATCAGGTAGCCTTGATAAAGTGGTTATGGGAATGTGCAATTAGTTTTTGGATTTTTTAAAAAGTAGAAACGACAGGAAAAAAATAAAATAGATTTTCGAAAAAATCGTTTTTTTTTTCAAAAACTTTTTTGATGCCATCTTGGTGAACATCCCAAAGCGCAAATTTGCCCAATTTAACTATGTTCGTATCTATTACGGTTTCCGAGATACCGATGCTCGTACCTCCAATTTGTAGCACCCTGTCTACTAATTTTTCTCGCTACGCCGCTGATTGATTGCTCGTCATGTGGGATAAAGAGGGCCGTCCCTTTTTGCCACTACTTTTAAGTGTAAATTGAACCTGAACCGCTTTTTTCCAACGGCTTTACTTTTACAAATCAATCTCGGTTCGCAGAGAGAAGAGATTTATCTTTTTCTTGCGACCGCCCCCTGGCGGGATCGTTCCACGTCAGTCGTCCGGCAAAGAAGTAGTTTCGTTAATAGGACTTTTTGTTTTTCTCGTACGTTTCTTGTATTACGATTTTTAAGAAGCTGATTCTAAAAACCGTTTTTGATAATTGCACAGAGACAGAGATACATTTTATGAAAAATACCAAAAAATAATTTATTCTTCTGCTTCTTTGATATCTTGGTTTCCTCTGTATGAGTTCTTAAGAGGTGGACTGTGTTTTTCATCTTTTTGGGCTTTTCCAGGCTGTCTCTTACCCATCGGTTTTACTTCCAGAGCTATGCGTGGTAGCCTGTTTTCTATCATGCGTTTTACTTGTGCGAATCATTGTCTTATACTGTGTGTACCCCATCTTATTACGTCCTATACTCCACATTGTTGTCTGATATATGTGTTCCTAACTCGGGCTCTTCTAGTCTTCTCCATTATGGTTCTTATGTTCTTCATTTCAGCTACCCTAAACATCAAAATAAAACACTTATTCACCACAATAGACCAAAACACTTTACTTTTGTATTAAGACTAGATAGTTTCATCATCTACTGATGATGCTAACGGTTGACTACACCCAACTCAACGGGCGAATGACTGGCTGTAGTATAACAATTCAGTAGTTTTAGGCATTAGTTTAGTTTACATTTGATAACGGTCAGTGATCCTTCTAACCGAAACGTTGTGTTAATTGAAAATAAATAAAGGCAATGGAAAATGACAAGTCCGAAATTCTTTTAGTTTCAAGATTATTTTCATTAAAAACTGCTTAGATTATTGAAATCTGACTATAGCAAAAATATTTTAGTTGTCGGAACTTCACAATTTTGTTTAAGCGCAAATCTAAAGTATGTACGAGGATGTATTTCAAGAAAATATGTTAACTTCTGTAGTGTGGCTTAAAAAAGTGTGAGTGGGTTTGCAGGGCCGTTCCTGGCGAGCATGCAGTGCGTGCACGCACGTAGGTGCAACATTTTGGGGGCGCAAAATCGAAGGGTCAATCAGTACTTGGTAACAAAAAACCGATACGCTTTCTTGCCAATAAACAAATACTTAAACATACATCATAGGATAAAGTTTGCTTAGCGTCTTTTTTGCGTTGGCCGCGCCGAATAAACAAGTCTAGGGCAATCTGTCGGCAACACATTGATCTCATCTATTTATTATTTCATTTTATGGAAAGCACTGTTTATTAAAATGTTGTATCCTATGTTATAGGGCTTTTTTCTCTCTATAATTTTCTGTCTCACAATGTACCGTTTGTGTCCGGGCCGGGAAGGGTTCATAGTTTTATAGTTGTCGATTTTCGAAAGAAATCAGTACATGTATATTATTTGGTATATTTTTTATTTTATTGATTTTATGGAAAGCACTGTTTATTAAAATGTTGTATCCTATGTTATAGGGCTTGTTTCTCTCTACAATTTCCTTTCTCACAATGTACCGTTTGTGTCGGGGAAGGGATTATAGTTTAATAGTTGTCTATTTTCGAAAGAAATCAGTACATGTATATTATTTAGTATATTTTTCATTTTATTGATTTCTTGGAAAGCAGTGTTCATTAAAATGTTGTATCCTATATTATAGAGCTTGTTTCTCACTACAATTTCCTGTCTCATTATGTACCATTTGTGTCTGGGCCGGGAAGGGTTCATAGTTTCATAGTTGTCGATTTTCGAAAGAAATCAGTACATGTATATTATTTAGTATATTTTTTATTTTATTGATTTCTTGGAAAGCACTGTTCATTAAAATGTTGTATCCTATGTTATAGGGCTTGTTTCTCTCTACAATTTCCTGTCTCACAATGTACCGTTTGTGTCGGGGAAGGGATCATAGTTTCATAGATTTTCAAAGTATATTATTTCCGATTTTTAGTTTATTGTTTTTATGTATTTCATATAAAATGGGTCAGTTTTTTCTTTAGGGTACTATTTTTGTTACTAAATATTTTTGTGGTTTTGTTTATTTTTCCCGTTTTATTTATTTAATAAATGTTTTTATACTTTAATTAGAATATTTTTTTATATTTTCAATTACATATTGCTCGTTTGTCGCAGAATATAAATTCTTCAAATTTTTGAGATTAAGATTAAAATATATAATTGATTTAAATATAAAAAGGGCGCACCAAAGAATGCTGCACGTAGGCGCCAGATACCGCAGGAACGGGCCTGTGGGTTTGGCTTCCTTTCAGATCACTCTACATAATCCTGAGTAAATATCTACATATATAAAACGCTAATGTTTGTCTGTGTCATCTCTACTGAAGTAACGCTCTAGAAAGTTGCTTTTTTTACTAAAAGATAGCTAATTGGCTCTTCTAAAAACTGTCGTCGCCGGATTTTTTGTTTTTAATATATATAGTAATTTAAAAAAAAAATAAAAAGTATTTTTTTCTGATGTCGTGCCGGATGCGCCAGGCTTCAACTAGTATTTCAATAATTTCCAAGATATTAATACATAAATAAAAAGTTTTTCAACCTACCTTAAAATAGTTATTACAAATTCAAGAACCTGTCCTAAAACCAAAACTATATTAGGTATTTACTTTAGATGGTCTATAACTTACTTTGCTATAAATATCGTAGTCTTAAATCACACAGGGTGTTCAAAATTCTACGCCGAACTTTCTAAAACATAAAATAATTTTTCTTCGATTTTTTGAACGGAAATTTTTTTTGTTACATGGATACTTAAAAAATTAACATTTTTTGTGTTTAATATATTTCAAAATTTTTAATGGTTTCCCAGATACCTGCAGTATTTTCTATTTCACATGGCTCTCTCAACGGTAAAATACGAGAGTGAAATCTTTGGGTGGCTTTTATTCTTTCTCTGACTTGGAACCATTTTTCAGTAAGACAGTTTCCGTTCTTTTTATTTGTATAGTCTTTGTAGTAATCATTAATGTTAGGAGCGTAAAGGCCTGTAATAATAATTTTATTTAAAATTCCGGTAACAGGACCGTACTTGATCCAAATTCTTTCGATCCCCTCTCGGGTCATTCTTTATTTACCTCCCCTATAGGTCCCCTTAACTCACTCACCGTGAGAATTAACCAGGTTGTAACAATACGTTCTCCGGAACAACCCTCACTTCCGAAGACTTATCTCCTTCTCCGCCTCCTCTCGTGGTGGAAGTTATGTTACGGCACGTAGCTTTCAAATTCGAATGGCAGGGCGTCGAGGATGCACATAAATTCACCTTTATTGAAGAATAGCGCGGCATAGCGCGTGTTCCCAACGATTATGTGGATATGTTGACTCCGTTTATTAAAAAGGGGCGGTTTAAATCTGTTAAAAGCTTCGAATCGTTTAACGCTTTTAGGGTTTCGAATTTCGTTCTATATAATAATTCTTAGGGAAAAATTATGGATGGATATGGTATAGGATTGATTTTATTTTTTTGAAGAAAAAAAATATTATTTATCCTTCTTCTTCTTCATCTTATTCATTTTTAAGATCTCGCGATCTGTTAATTTTGATGGGTCCTCTGTAACAGTTCTTGGGAGGTGGACTGCCAGCTGTCCTTCCATCTCTTAGGTGGTCTTCCAGGTTCTCTTTTCCCTGTTGGTTTCCCTTCTAATGCAATTCGTGGCAGTCTTCTCTCATCCATTCTTCTCACGTGGGCGTACCAACCTCTTTTTCTTTGTCTGCCCCACCTTACTATGTCTTGCACCTCACATTGTTCCCTGATGTCGGTGTTCTTAATTCGGTCTCTTCTTGTTTTTCCCATTATTGTCCTGAGCGTTTTCATCTCGGCTACTCGTAGCATGCTCTTCGTTTTGTTGGTTTCCTCTCTGGTTTCTATTCCGTATGTCATGATTGGTCTGATACAAGTCTTGTATATCTTTA